TGAGCAGTTCATGATCTGTTCCACAGTCAGCACCTGGCCATGTCTTTGATGCTATAATTGACCTCCTCCACCTCCTTTTAGCAATAATATAGTCAATTTGATTTCTATATTATCTGGTGATGTTCATGTATAGAGGCATAGTTTGGTTGTTTGAAGACTGTGTTAGCTATGAATAAATCATTGGAGTAGCAGAAATTGATAAGTCAACCTCCTGCTTCATTTTGGCTTCCTAAGCCATACAATCCAACTACATTTTCCTCTTTCATGTTTCCAACTTTAGCATTCCAATCTCCAATCACAAACAGCACATCTTGCTTGCATGTTCTGTCAATTTCAAATTGAACGTGATCATAGAAGTCATCAGTCTTCTCTTCTTCTGCACCAGTGGTTGGAGCATAAACTTGAATAATCATCGTATTAAAGGGTTGTCCATGAAGCCCAATTGATATTATTCAGTCACTGATTGCATTGTAGCCAAATACTGTTCTTGCTATACTCTTCCTAACTATAAAAGCAGCACCATTTCTTCTTTGTTTTTCATATCTTGAGTAATAAATGGTGTGATCTTCTGACTGGAAGTATCTCATCCCAGTCCAGCTCAATTTGATGATGCCTAAGATGTCAGTTTGTAGTCATTTCATTTTATCTTTCACTGTGTTGAGCTTTCCTGTGTTCATGATTCTTATGTTCCATGTTCCTACTGAAATTCTATCTTAACCTGAATAATCCTTAATCCAGTTGTGGGTTGTGGAGTTTGTTATTGACTTTTGAACCCAGCTAGTATTAACTTTATAGTCTGTTATGCAGATTACTACAGTTTAAAGTCTGTTGCTGAGCACGGATAAACGCCAAAGAAGCTGAATTATGTTTGGCTCCAGAGATGGGAGATGGGAATGGTAAGATTTGCAGAGGTTCAAAGCATGTGAGGAAGGAGGGAGGAAAAGAGGTGAGCCAGAAAAAAGTGCTCCTGGGAGCAAAGTCCATTTATAATGGAATGTAAGTGAAAGCCAAATTGCTGACGGTTTTAACAAGATCATAGTGAAAGGAACATTTAGGCACAGTCAGAACCTACGTAGCTGAGAAATGTTTACATTTGTAGAAATACAGATTTATTTCTGGCTGAAATAAAGGATGAAAATGCAAGCAGTGTTATTGTCAATGTCTTCAGTGGCATTGCAAAAAATGAATTAACAACTTGCTGAAAAGTAAACTTTATAAATTGCCTTGCAAACTCAGGCAAACATACTTGGTCTAGTTTTCCCATTGCCTAGAACATAGGTGGGAAACTTTGTTTGACTGAGAGCTCCATTTTCATGGGAGTCATCTGTGAAGGATTTGACTTCATACCAGCACTGGGGAGGACTGAAACAAGTGGCAGGAAGAACCAGAGCCATAAGTTGTGGGGGTACTTCCGCTTTTACTTTTTTCCTATTCCTGAGACCGTTTTGAACAGCTTGTTTTCCCTTTCCCTTCCTCCAAGTATATCAGATTGCTGGAGATCACATGGGTCACTCTTTCTGGGTATTGGAGTTAATCTCTCTTTTGGAGTAATTCTGAAATTAGGCTAAGACTCCATGGGGCTCCGTATCTCCAGGCTACATATAGGTATGCAAATCTCTCTCTGACTAGCAATTAGTGCACTCGCAGAGCAAAGGTGCTTCCTGGGTAAACTGAGGTGCACCCATAAGTACTTATGCTGCCACATTCTGGACCAGTTGTAGCTTCCCAGTAGTCTTCAAGGACAGCCTCACCTAGAACACATTACAGTAGTCCAGATTCAAGGAGACCGAGGCATGATTGTGAATAAGTGCCTGATCCAGAAAAGGGTGGACACTTTATGTTTTATTAAAGTATTCCATGATATTTCCTTCAAAACCTAGCTTGCCTTTTAAAGACAATATTTTTTGACCAATACCTATGATTGAGAACAGGTAAGGATGCTTTTTACTGATGGAATTGGACTTACCCTGATTAGTCATTGTACATCTTTGAGATACACCTGACAAATGAAATGGCAGGCACAGATTTAGAATGGGAGAGAGGAAGACAGTATGTTTTTGATAGAATGGCACCAAATTAATTGGTGATATTTTTTTATGCACTTGGAAGGTATTGAACTAATCCGAGTAAAAGATTCAATATTGTACATTGCACGTTTCCTCCCTGGAATTCCATCATGTATATTGCCATAAGAAGGATAGATAGAGAAATGCAGGATATGGTGAATAAGAATAAAAGTGAAAGGGGGAGGAACAAAAATGCCCCTCTTGAGTGAAAAAGAAATATTTAAGATAACATGAAATTTGAACCTCCTCCTGAGATATGCAAGTGTTTTGAATTTCAATTCTTCTATGTTTTTATGAAAATATTGTAGTTCATTAAATAGATACAGATAATTTCACAACTGGGCAAAAAGTGATGCAATAAGCTCTAATTAACTACATTAATGGTTTGCTTTTCTTAAATAAATAGTAGCTTGATAGAGAGGTATAAAATCATGAGAGAGGAACACAGAATCATGCATGCGATAAGATAATGTGGATGGAGAGTTTTTCCCCTCTCACAATGTTAGAATTTGAGGTCATCCATTGAAACTAAATGCACAGAGTTCCAGGAAAGACAGAATACAGTAAAGCTTAAATTTAATGGACTGTTCTGGGGGTAGGGAGTATCTGTTACATTTGAATATATGTTATTTGTGTCAATTTACATCATTTGTGTAATTACCCAATTGACATAAATAGTGTCATTTGCACTTAATGTTGATTTAACAGACATTAGTGCATCAAATGAGGGTGAAGTCCAGGTGTCTGTAGTATGCAAAGCCCGTTAAACTGAGGTCTGTTAAATTAAGGTTTAAGGTACTTTTTCATGGAGAGTATTATTATGGAATTGTCTGTCAGCAACTAAGGGAACAGCAGCCAATTTGCATAATTTTAAAAGGGCCTAGCAGATTTATGAACAACCAGGCTATCAGTGGCTGCTAATACTGCTGGCTGTTTACCACCTCCTCGTTCATGGGCTGCAGCTTTATATGCTGATTGTTGGAAAGCTACAACACAAAGGGCTTATTTTCATACAGTCCAGTCTTGTGAGCCTCCCAGATGCATCCTGTTGGTCACTGTGTGATCCAGAAAAATGGATGAAATGGGACCAGCTAGCCCTGAATTTGCTCTTGGAATAGACTCTTGAAACTCCATGTTGCTTCCTTATAGGTTAGATTTCAGAGATTCCTATGAGTTTGCCTTGGTTATCTATAACCTGAAGCTCTACTGTACTCAGGACTCTTCTCTGGCTTATTTTATTTTATTGCCAGCATGTTCCTTTCTTTGCTCACTGTTTCTTTGCATGAGAGAGCATTGCTATATTTCTATCTGCTATGCTAGAAAAATATTCTAGAGTGATAATGCAAATCTGGCCCTTGAAGGTAGATAGCAATTGATTTAAAAGCTAAAGATGTAACTTTTTGTAATATGGTTCATCCTGGATTTAAGTGTGCACATTAAATGTCATTTTTGAAAAATATGCACACTGAATAAAATTTGTGAGAACATTTAATCTTTCCATGCTCCCAGTGGACTGATCTTCCATCTCCATTTTATTTAGCCATTACATTGTCTAAAATGAAGGTCACTCTTGAATTATTATTATTTTTACCCAGTGACATCTGTCATACTCAGTGACAGAACATTCTATTACACTGTTTCTCAGAAATCATCCTTCTGCCCCCACATTCAAGCAATAGATTAAGCCGGTTGTTTGTTTTGCTCCTTTCTAGATTTGGCCATGAACGAACACAGAAGTCTCCTGCTGTCTTCCCAAAGTTGTTTTTAGTTGGAATTTGTACTCTATATGCAGCTGATTCCCTGAGTTAATGAAAGTCTATCACAGCAATTAGAAGAGAAACAGGGATTTTGCCCCCAGTCACTCTTTGATACCTTTTAAACAGGATTCTTTCAAAAGACCCAATATAGAGAAAAAATGTCATGACCCGATAACATGTTATATTAAATGCATGATTGAATTTACATATTTTTATTTTTTAAATTATGCTAGATGCAGAGCCTTCTGATTTGAATCAGAATCATAGGATGAGTTCATCCTTGTTTCTTTACAGTTTTCCAATGAAAATGCCCTAAAATAAGTCTCAAGAGGAAACTGCATGGAGAAACATAGCAGCTTCCAGTGTTTCCGCCTCTAGAAATTGCTTAATTTTTTTATTATCCCCCTCCCAAACATCTGTATTATTGGCAGTACCAAGAAGGGAGGGACTCTTAGGGGACTTTGCCAACTTTGAAATGGAAGACTGTTTTTGCAGTCCCAATGAAATTGCAGCTTGTAGAGAATCTCCTGTTTTCCCAGTACTGAAACAGCATAGAGAGAACAAAGTCATAGAATCACTTGGATGATTGTCTTGACTTGATCGTCACAATTCTTGCTGTCAACTATCTGCTGTTGCAAATCAGCTGTAGATGTATCTTTTCAGTGCTGTATTGTTTTGGTTACCCACCAGTCACCAGATGTCCTGATATATTCCAAATAGTAGGGATATAGATAAGAAGTGTAAGTAATTAATAATCCTAGGAATTTCAGACCTATGTATGACAATAGCATAAGCCCAAACTATGTGAGTTAACAGTCCAACTCTTGTAGCATGTCTCCAACAGCAAGACAAACATAGACATTATTTATTAATAATTTTCTGTTATGAACTGCATTTTAAGAAAAAGAAAGGCTAATTACAGTTTCTAAAATTGCCTGCCTCTGGTTTGCAAAAACTCAACATTCAAGCTCATTAGTTGTTTCCCTTGATTTATAATTTATAATTATACATTTATAATTAACTAATTTTTAATTTATAAACATATTAATTTGTTTATAATTTATAATTAATTTATAAACATAAATTACAGACTTAGAAATTTCAATTAATTCTATTAAGAACTTTCACAAATATAGAGGTAGCTGTAGTATCAGAATCAAAAAAGGCCAAATGTTGACTCAGACAGGAATCTGTGCTACATCAGATTCATTTATTAGTTCTTCATGTTTTAAATACTGTTTCGATAGACACCCAGTTTATGAGAGGTTTTTCTGCCTGAAGGATTTACTAGCCATTCGTAAATCAGAGTTACAGTTTAAGTTATAAGGAGATATCAAAATGGTTGCAGATGCCTCTGCCAAAGATTAATTCTAGATTTCAATGACTTAAACAAATGACTTAAAGGCCATGAACTCTGAAGATATCCTTCATTTTTTTGGTACAGCACAGTATGTTCAGTTTTGTAGATGAAGCACTGTTGTATTCAAATGTGTGGTAGACCAATATTTTTTAAAACTGAAGGATCCCATTTCTGCATCTGTGTAATACGTTGCCATGACTGATATGATCACTGATTGTTACAGAGAGAAACACATTAATTACTGGAACCCCCCCCCCACTAAATTGTTATCTTTATTTCCCTAATATTTATTCTCTAAATGAATGCCATTTGCTGAAATTACGAACCCAGTTTTCAATTTTGTAACGTAAGAGAATAACACTGATTTTTATTTTATTTACACACGCAGAATATTTTAAAAGTCAAGAATGAATAGATCTCTCAGACACTTTCTAGTGTGAAAATATAAGTGCAACCCTCTACTCCCTGCAGATTTTTTTCTCCCTGAGGAAAGCTAGTGTTTGGCTATGAATCTAATGTGAAGAGAACCCTCAAATGTTGCTCCCTATGGATTTTGGGATAGGATTCTGGCATATTTCTAGCTCCTTCGCCATCCCAATCCCCAGTACTTCTTTTGCAGCACTTCTAAGGTTTTCACCCCTGCCCTTACAGATACAACTACAACTGTTCCAGATGGCGATTCATCCACTGGCCATGGCTACTGGTAAAGCAGC